GATAGATAGATAGATAGATAGATAGATAGATAGATAGATAGATAGATAGATAGATAGAGACTCTTCTTTAGGATATTGGTTCTCTAAAATCTTTCAAAAGAACACAGCAAGAAAAATTAGGTTTCCAAAGCCGTATCTGAATGAATTAGAAGATCTTCTCAGCCCGGATATTCTCTGTTCACACTGATGCCTTCAGGCAGACGATACAGAGCAATCAGAACAAAAACCAACAGACTCAGAGACAGTTTTTATCCTACAGCAATAACAAAACTAAATGCAATCAAAACAACCATTAATCATCATGAATGATGTGTGTGATAATGTGGTTATTCTTATTTATTAGTTTTTTAAAGTGTGATACGTAAAGTGTGAGACAAATTTTTTCTTTTCTTTTTTTTAGCATATGCACTGTCTGATGGCACCTTTTAAATTTCGTTGTTCTTGTGACAATGACAATAAAGATTTATCTTATCTTATCTATCTTATCTTATCTTCAGGCACATGGAGACTAAATAAGATTTGTTTGGTCAGAATAAACGGTTTTATGTTTGGAGAAAAGCGAACCTCATACCAGCTGTCGGCCGGGAGATAAAGGGAGGATGGTTTGGGTTTGTTTGGCAGCTACAGGACCTGAGTGTACCATGAACTTCTCTGTTGACCAGAGGATTTTAGATGGAAGTTTGGACCACACTGGCAGGTTATTGTTATACAGTAGAGCTGAAGGAGGGTGGACTTGCTTTTTGCCATGACTTTAAATGTGAGTAAAGTGTACACACTCACCGGATGGATGTCGATGAAGAGACCGTGCTCCTCCTCAGTGGGATGAAGGCCCAACACAAACTCTCGTAGAACCGGATCACCATTCAAAAAGTGAGGGTGAGAGATGAAGGTCGGGGAGTCTAAAAATCAACAAAGCCATGAAACTGTTACTCAGCATAACCACAATGTTCTTTAAACCTGACCAATACTTCATTATGGAGTTTCAGCTGGTCAAAACTAATTACGCAAGATAAAAGTTCTAACACAGAGAACGTTCCAGCTTGGCAGAAACAAAGAGCAAGTAAACAGTTTTCTCTTATCTGTGCTTGTTTATCTCAATGTTAATTGCGGTCTACAACCTTTATGATCAAAAGAGACATTTGGGCTCCTTGTCTCACTAATAAAATGTGTCCGGAGCTGCAAAACAAGCTACAAATGTGATTATCAACTGGTGGTCCATGGGCCTATTCGAGGCCTTTTCGAAAACTTTTACAGTCATTGGAGGTGACATTATAAAACTAAAAAAATTCTTATTGTTATCATTATATTATTATACACATCAGGACAATAAAAAGAACATTTTCATGTAAAGAAGAAAAATATCATAAATAGTTTATACCGAATTTGATAAAAACTACTACAACAGATTTATTCAGGCATACTTTTTTCTAATTTTTATTATTATGTAGTCTTCAAATTATTTAAAGGTAACTGATGGATTTGAGAGAAAGATCATAGAAAAAAATTGGAATATTTAAGTAAACAACAGGCTAACATGAGCTTACATGTTTTACTTCTTATATTTGTAGCGTTGCTCACATATTTGCATACAAATTGATTTCTGTTGTGAGTATAAAAACAACCAAAAATTGTTCTGTTATGTTTGGTCACATTTTCAAAGAGCCACTGCAGAGGGATCAAAGAGCCACAGGTTGCAGACCCCGGGCTTAAAGGATCAAATTTATCATTACTTGTGAGAACATAGCATACTGTTCTCATTTAAGATAATCAAAAATAAAAATATATATATTTATTGTGATTATTAGTGTACACTGACAACTATCAGGAAGATCAAATTAAATATAACAGATTAGTACATATGAATGTTGTAATAATGCAGCACAAATATACTGACTATGGTGGCAGGTGCTGACGTTGAGCACACCGGACTGCCTGCAGGGACAGAAGCCTTCATTGGGAGCGTAATCCATTCCATTAGCAAACAAGGTCTTAGGAGCAACAAACCGATATGATGGGATCCCCTTAAAGCTGCCAGACTGCTTGTAAACAAGTTCCATAGACCTTTATAAGAAAAAAACAAGTTCAAAGCATTATTAAGCTGTCAGAAAGCAACCTGTTTGTGAAAGATTTGGAAAAATACCGGCAAGCATCAGGGCTGTAGAAGGGCAGGGTGCTCTCTTTGGTCATAAACGGTGGCCACATCTGTCCAGCTGTTCCATTGATCATGTTACACTGAGGAGTACCCCAGTAGGTCAACTGTTAGCAGAGAAACCAGTCAGATATTAGAAAACCTGTAAACATAAAAACTAACAAGAACTGTTTGACATTTCACCTCTCGGAGGCCATTCCAGGAGTCAACTTTGTGGACTTTTCTGATGTCATCTTTCCCAGTGTGGACAGTGAACAGCCCAGTGTTAGAGTTGTTGAACTAATTTAAAATAAAAACATAGTTCAGCTATTTTGCATTAAACAAACAAAAATGTACAATTAGAATTTATCCAGAGTGCAAGAGTGATGCTTAAAAAATGTAATAAAACTGAAAAAAGGATGAACTCTATGTTACACTACTGACGATAAATCATTTGTTAGTTTCTTTTATTTTCTAATGTTGGCAGATTTCTAACAGGACTCACTTGGTTCAACTGATCAAAACAACTGACAGTACAGTTCCTGATGCTTAGTGTCAGTATTTATTCATGCACTGTGGTCTAAATATATTCATGTCAACTTCAGGTTTGCTAAAATATATTCAGTCTAAACAGAGTTTAAATCTACCCGTTTCAGCTCTGCAGTCATTCTGACACCTGACAGCACTACATGTTGAGGACAATTAGCTATCACAACATAAAACACCATTAAAACTATTATTATAAAATAGAACCTTTGTATAAAACAGTCAGTAAAAAAAGAACTAAAAGGCGCCAGTTAAATGCAAACAACAAATTACAGAAACAGCTCTGAATCTAAAACAAGGGTTCTCATACTTTTTGGGTCTGGGGACCCCTTACAAGAGTGAAAATCATTCCAGGGACCCCTCCATAAACTCCATTTTAACCCCTAAATGGCATGAGAGTATTATTTTTTGTTTGGTTTAGTATATTTACTTTACCAATGTTACCAAAAGCAGTTTTCAAAACAAAAACCAAATTAATATTTTTTTTGAATTTTTTTGGGGAAACCCAAGACACGGCTCGCAACCCCCTGGGGGTCCAAGGACCCCAGTTTGAGAACCTCTGCTTTAAAACAAGACTGTTTGGTTTGCTGCTCCTTTTAAATAAAACAGAGAATTATATATGGCTATATTTTACATTTCGTTATCTTTTGTCCCAATTCTTATTCACATCATGTTTTTTTCCTCTCTTTAGGAAATGTTTTTTTCTGTGAGCTTTTGTCATTTTAAATGTTTATCTGCTTTTACTGTTCACACATGATCACAGTGTTTTAATTTGTTTATGTAAATCACTGAGAGCCGCTGAAATATATTATACAAATGAAACTGCCCGGTCGTATTCATACCACAGACTTTTACAGACTTTTTAGGTCCAGTTCTAACTATTAAGATGTGATGCTGCTATACAATTCTAAATTATCATTTCATTTTTTTTTTTACATTTTACAGCCTAATTCTTTTAGAATTTGAGTTGTGCTTAATGACAAATTTATGCAAAAACCTTTGAAAAAAATCAGACAATAGAAAAATTACATCACATTACAATTTAGTTCAGGGGTTCTTAACCTTTTTGACCTCGGGGCCCAATTTATTGAACATAAAGTGGCACAAGGCCCAGTCAGATATTACCAATATATGGATGAAAATTATAAATATTCTACATCTTGGTTAAAATTTAATTGTATTTACATTATAACTAAACTATCATAACTAACATAACTAAATTAAATACACTTATAGTTTAAAAGTAAAACTCCTGTCAAATAATCACAAGACATGATTATGACAAACATTTTTATATTGTAACC